ATTATTTAAAAAAAAAAATATATAAATAAATATATATAACACATGCATACCTTGCTATAATTATAGATATGCATAAATAATACACATAAATATTTTATAAGTAATTTTTTAGTATTGTTGGCAGTAGTATAAGGTATTAAATTTGTTTTTATTAATGTAATTACAGCAAACAATGATTTAGGATATTATTAAAATCCATTAATAATTTGATATAATAACCAATTATTAAGATACATATTTATGCATTTATAATTAGCCTATATTTGTACATTTATTAGCCTACACATTTCATACAAAAAGCTACCGGTTATTATTTATATATTGTTTGACATTACATTACATTACCTGACACCTGCACACGAGGTCAGACTCCGTCGCCAATAAATCTACAACTTTTCCTTTGCCTTCATCTCCCCACTGCGCTCCCAGAACCACCGACACTTTGTTCCCCGAGTCGTTTCTCGGCCGTTTCACGGCGGCTGGCGGCGGGTTCGAGTAGCTCTTGTTCGCTGACCAGCCCGAAGACATCCTGCAGCGTCCGGAGCCGAATGAAGCCGAGGAACGGGCGGCACGCGCATAGAGCGCTTCGGAGGATAAGGATAAATAATATTTATTCCGTTTTAACTATTTACTGCTCAGTAATGACTTTCCAATAATTTCAATAGTTTTTAAAGTTTATCCGCTCTGGTGTAAATTGTTCAGACCGTTGCGGAAGAGCGCGGTGTGTCACGTGACACCTGTTACTTTTCGCAGCGCTGGTCACAGTAGACCAATCGCGGTCGATGATGATTACTGGATGATAGATTTTTAAAACGCATTTTGTGTTGATTGCTGAGGCAGATTTGTGCGTGTATGCCACTTACCAATCCTTGGGGTTCTTCGGTTTAAACGATTGCGCTTGTAAGCGTACAAATGTTTCCATTAAGACAAAAAACGGCTTGATTTTTGAATGCGACTCGAAGAGGATTCGACTTTGTGAGCCGCCGAGCGCATGCGCAGTCTAGAGTGCGCTATTATTGAGTTACGAAGCCACTACAATGCACTATTGATCGGTTTGGCGTGTGCATGTGATAAAACATCAGCTGATACAATCACAGTGATCCGATCACTAAATGTTTAGCACTTAGATTCAACCTGTATTTAGATTCTGTAAACATAAACAAAAGAGTCTGTCAATCATTTTGAGCGTTCGGAATTGCGAACTTGGGATTGGCTGACATGCATTTGGAGGCGGAGCTTACAGCTGAAGGCGTGTGCTTGATGACGAAACGGCATACGAATTTAAATTCTAATGCATTTCAGATTGCAATGAATGTGAGCTTGAGTGTTAATGAACAAACCTCGACACGGACTGCACATTTTTATTTATATATAATTTAAAGATTTTCTTAATGAATATACATAGCGACATCAATATAACGAAACCGTCCAACTCAACCACTGCAACCGCAAAATATAATCCAATCATTTTTATTACACCAATATTTTAGAACTGGTATCACAATGAACTAATACTTCTCACGGTTAATGCCAAACATCGTCATAACATATAAAGTTTACATTCAGAGCAATATTAATAGTTAACAGCAACTTATCTTAAAGGTTTCAGAAACAGACTGTTTAAAGGTTTCGAGAAACAGCAAAAATTCATGATTAGCCATTTTTTCTCTCCTGTATTAGTCACTCTCTTATGTAAACAAAGTTTTGGTGCGTCATAAATGTATCTTACAGTGTGCAAATATTTAAAATAGATAGGTCAAATCTAAAGATATAGCATTTAAAAATACATTTCTTTAAGCCAGACTCAAATACACAGTGCACAATGTGTATTTCTTCAAAGTACGCCATCAGTTGCTCCTCTTCAGATCTCATCCGGTTCACTGAGATCCAGTGGAATAACAGGATCACAGCAGGAACGCCTCAACTTTTCCTTTTCCCTTTTGTTCTCCTTTTCCTAGAGCTTCCTGCAACACGAGGCGGGGGAAAAAAAAAAAGTTTAAACTTTGAGCACCGACATTTGCCATCCATTTAAGATGATCAGCGTTAAAGGAGCAGTCTGCAAGTGAATGGGTGCCGTCAGAATGAGAGTCCAAACAGCTGATAAAACATCACAATAATCCACAAGTAATCCACAGCACTCCAGTCCATCAGTTAACATCTGGAGAAGACAAAAACTGAAACTAATCCAGCATTAAGACGTTTTTAACTAAAATACATTGAGTCTATAATCCATAATAACTCTTCCTCCAGTGAAAAAGTGCATCTCCTGTTGTCTCTCACATCAAAATCCAGCCACATATGTGTTTAGAGCTGTTTAAATGGTGCTTGATCTGTGCAGATTTCTCTCCTGATTCAGACCAGAACACTTTTTCACTGGAGGAAGCTTTATTATGGATTATAGACTCTATGGTATTTGAGTTAAAAACGTCTTGATGCTGGATTAGTTTCAGCTTTCGTCTTCTCCAGATGTTAACTGATGGACTGGAGTGCTGTGGATTACTTGTGGATTATTGTGATGTTTTTATCAGCTGTTTGGACTCTCATTCTGACGGCACCCATTCACTTGCAGTGAGACACTGATGCAATGCTACATTTCTCCAAATCTGATGAAGAAACAAACTCATCCTAATCTCGGATGACCTGAGAGTGAGCGCATTTTTAGCAAAGTTTCATTTTTAGGTGAACTATTTCTTTAATATGATGATGAAGTAGCATAAGAAATTGTATCTTTAGAAAGACTTGAGGGATTGCAGTCTAACTGCTGAAGAATACAGAAACACACAATGGTTTTAACAAATCAGCTTATACTCTCAGAGTTCAAAAACAATCCATATGCACTTAATTTTTTAAACATCACGGCTGATATTTAGCAAATGCAAGTTCAACCTCTTAAACACTCCTATCCAGAATAAACTGTTCTCTGTTAAACACAAACTATTTGATAATCTCTAATAACCTATTACTTGTTTCACTTCTGTTTCAGTTTTTATAACCATTTCTTGCTATGTGTAAGTTGTTGTTTTTTTAGCATGTAAGTTTGGCTCAGTGTTATTTTTTAGGATTACTGATAAACTACTGTTGTTTGATTTGTATTATTTGTATTTGTTATTTATTTTAATTTTAGTTACATTATGTCTGAATTTATTATGTCTGTGTAGGTCTTTCATTAAGTTTTAGTTTTATTTGAGTTATTTTAATACTTCAACAAACTAAATGGAAATGAAATAATATATATATAGAATTTATAAATGTGTGTGTATGTATATATATATATTATGTGTGTGTGTGTGGTTGTACATACACATATATGTAGTTGTTTTTTGGTGTTTGGCTTAGTGTTATGTTAGAATCATTATTATACTCTTATAGCTTTTGTTCTTTAATATTTTGAATTGTTTTCAGCTTTATTTTCTGTTTTTCATTCAAATGTTAAGTTTTGAAATTTTGTTGTATGCATTTGTCATTTTTATTTAATTTCTTTATTTTTAAAATGTGTATAGGTAGTATTTATAAAGTTTTAGCTTTTAGTTTTGAATCTGTTTTTAGTTGTTTTAATACTACAATTGTTTGCTTCTGTTGTCCTCATTTGTAAGTCTGATAAATGACTAAATAAATAAATAATCTCGGAATTTAAGTCTTTATTCTGACAGCTGCACATCTGGACTCATTTCTGGATTATTTGCTTTGTTTATCTTTCATTCTTCGCTGACAGACAGATTAAAGCCCTGGTTTAATCATGACAACAAGCCTGAAACATGTCGGGTCAAAGGTCACACACCAGAATCCTCAAACAAACATTTTAATATTGATCTATTTACAAGAACATACACTTCTGTTTGGGGTCAGTACGATTTTTTTTGTTAAAGAAATTAACACTTTTATTGATCAAGGATGCTTTGAATTGATCAAAAGTGACAGTAAACATATTTATTATGTTACAAAGATTGCTATTTCAAATAAATGCTGTTCTTTTGAACTTTCTATTCATCTGTGAATCCTGAAAAATAAAATGCATCACTGCTTCCACAAAAATATTAATGTTTTCAACATTGATAATAATCAGAAATGTTTCTCGAGCTGAGACACAAATCTGATTTATACACACGTAAAGAAATGATTCGACAGTCTCTCATGACGAAAGAGAGGAGGTTTATTTGACGGACCGGAGACGAGAACAAACCACAGCAGATCCCCACGAGCTCAGGACGAGACTATGTTAATAACAGAGTTGGAGGACTAGTCAACACACGTGGGTAAGTAGAGAGGACTGGTTAGAGATCGAGTAGGCGGCTTTGAGCGGACGTCCTGCTCGGTTCTGTTAGTTCTCTATGGAGAGGTGTTTGACCTACCTCACTGCAACACACAGCCCTTTATAGAGCGTCCTTTCCCTCTGTTACCCTCCACTTCAGAGGGACAAAGAAAAAGAGACACTGACATTCATTTCAAGCCTCTGTACGGCACGAGCTCAGCTCAGAGCGAGAGCTGATGCACTGATGCCAGATGTTTAACAGAATACAGAGCAGATCACACATTAACGGTGTTAAAAAACAACAACAGATGTTTCTGGAAGCGTCGTTAGAAAACGACAGCAAATTAATATTCAGTAACTTGAGGAGATGTCAAGGAAATGTCCAGGTCATATTTCACCCAAAAATCTAAAGCCTATATTTAGAACAAGTATTTTTTTTTCAACCCAGTGTAACATTGTAGCAATAAGAATTTGAATGG